GAAAAAAAACAAAGGTGCTGTAAATTCTCATGGAAACAAACTACATTAAACTGAAAACATTTGCCCATAGTTTTGGCACCCTTGCCCAGCACGTTTGTCTCCTCCCAAAAAAACTGACCAACTCCCATTATCTCACAACTGCACCTGACTTTCCAAGGGCAGCACACACAGCTTGGTCTCTATAGGTTTGTTTTCAGAATACTCAACCTGCCAAATGAAAGATCCTTGAAAATGTTACTTACATACAGCTTTTCCTGCAACACTAAAATGATAACACATGCTATAATTCTGTCTTTAGTCCATATGTTTTTTTACATTAACACAATTTGCAATATCATGGAGTCCCTAGACCATGATGTATTCAGCAATGGCTGAGAATAAACTTTATTTAAAAGTACTTTTCTTATTTGACAAAATTTGTGAGTCAGTTATCATATTCATAAATCTGTGGGTGATCTGAAAAATGCAGACAGGGAAGGAAAAAAGGCATAAAAACCAGAAAACAATTTCAGGCCAGTGGGATACCAACTCAGTACAATTTCCATTCTTTTGACCCCGGGGATCCTTTGGCAAGAAGCATAAAACAAATTTAATTAAATAGCAGTAGTGGTACTACCCCTTTATGATGAGCTGTAAGAAAAAACAGAATGAATAAAAACAGTTTGAAGAGAAGATATTGTCCTAATAGCTTTCTTTGAGGAGGAGGGTGGGGACATTCTAAAATCCCCAATATATAAGATGGAGTACAAGTTATTATTTGTCAATAAGCAGAAGCTCGTTTTTTACTATAACACATCTTCACTGAATCTCAACATGAATCAACATGCCCTAAATGAGAGGGAAAAATAACTGTGCTTCACCATATTCATATCAGATAGTTTCTCATTGCTGTAAAAAGCCAGCATCTATGCAGTAATTAATAGGGCTGACAAAAAACCCTTAAGTAATCCTGGAAGGGTATGTTGAGTGTCTGAAGATAATGACTAGGTTACTAGCAGCATTAATTATTCACAGGAAGTGAGATTTTTAAAACCAGTGCTTCATCAACAAGCCCTAAACTTTCTATGAAATCCTGAATACGTGGCAGACTGTTCAGACCACGTAACTTCAGAGAATCCAACTAGTTTGCTCAAATTAGTGAAGTTGCCTTGGGCTCCCTATTCATCAAGGGAGCACTCAGAGGACAATTCGAAACAGTACTCAGTTCTGAACTGCCCTTTGAAGGCTCTGTCAGCTACTTTCAATACTGGAGTTGTACACGTCAGGCAATGTAAACACCTTACCATACCAACATTAACCGCAGCAAATGATTTCCTGTATCTGTATCAAAGCATTAAAGAAATTGCAACATACCACATCTGTACCAACAATGGCACATGGCCTTTTTACACTGCGTTAGAAAACACAGTGGATTTAAAAAAACGGAAACAAAAGAATTCAGCACATTCAATCCCTCAAAACCTCTAAACCTACCAGTAATACTGTTAATACAGTAAGCCTGATGTAGGCACAAAAAGAAACAGTTTAGGTTTACCTCTTTAACTTCATTCCCCAGAAAATCACCATGTAACAGTGCTTTGCTGATTTTTGATAGCAAACCCAAAAACAACAGTGTAGCTGGTCCTCCCTGTTTTCACTTTCTATCTACTTCCTAACTCCGCTGGCCTTTAGTGCTGAGCTGTACCAACAGCTGGACGAAACCATCGTGAAAACCATCCCTATAACAAAAAGGTCCATAAGCCTTAACAAATGTCTGAAATAAACGTCTGAACAAATGCCTAAAATACCAGAAACATTTAGTCAACAGTGTCTTAATTTGACGATCAGCGATCTTAGATCACTGATAACATTTTGGCAGTCATACAGGTAAGTTACCTTTCCAGCGCCAAAAGGCACGTTTTAAAGCATCTGCATTCAACATGGGGGCCCAGAGAGCGGAGGGCCTGCAGCAGAGGCAGCCCTCAGGCCGGAGGGAGAGCTCGCCCCCGCCGCTGCCGGACCTCGGCGCATCTCCGAGGCGGGAGGAGGCGGCGGGGGTGCCCGGCCCAGCCGCCCGGAGCCCCGGGATGCTCCGCGGGCGGGGGCGCGGGCAGGGGAGCCGAGCGGTGGCCGTAAGGACACGTCACCGCTGCTGTCCCTTCCCTCCCCGCCGCGCCGCCCGCCGGGAGCCGTAGTGCCGGCGGGGCCGCGCACACAAAGAGCGGAGCGGGGGATCGGCGCCGCGGCCGGGCCTCGCCCCCCGCCCCCTCCCTCCCTCCCGGCTGCCACGTAACCCCGCCGCCCGCAGGAACTCCCGCCGCCGCGGCGGGGAAGCGGGACCCGGCTCCTGGCGGTAGCCGCGGCTGCGCCTGTCCGAGCCGAGCCGGGGAGAGGGGCGTTCCACCCGGGGAAGCGGGGATGCACTGCGGGGAAGGTGCCCGCGGTGATCCTCGGGCGGTGCGGCGGGGCGGGGGTCGGCTCCTGTCCCCCCGTGGGCCGGCGGGCAGGTGCGCCGGGAGGCGGCGGCGCTGACCGGGAGCAGCCGCAGGGTTCTGCCGCAGCCCGCACAGCCTCCCCTGCTGCCGCGGAACTCCCGCGCCCTGTCTCTCCTCCAGCCTCCGCTGGAGTGGGAGGAAGCGGGAAGAGGACCCCCGGCGGGGGCGTCGGTGCCGCCTCACCTCGAACATGAGCCCCAGCAGGAAGATCATGGCCATGCAGGACACGATGTCCGCATGGTTCTGCACGATGAACTCGTGGCTCAACACCGGCGGGTTCTTGTTGCTCTTCTTGCGGATCGCCATGGCGGGCCGGGAGCTGGGCGCCGCCGCCGCCTCCCCGCTGCCAGCACAGCTCCTCTGGCCGCGGCCAGGAAGAGGCGGAGGGGAGGAGGCGGCCGCGCAGCCGGGGAATGGCAGCGCCGCCGCTCCGCTTCCCCCGCCCCGCCGCCAGCAGCGCCCCTGCCGGCCGGCGGCGCCTCCGCCCGCGCTCCGCCCGCCAGTTCAAACCCACCAACCCGGGGCGCGGCAGCGCGGGCCGGCGGAGCGCGGCCGTGTCGCGGCGCCCGGGCCGCGGTGCTGCAGCGCCGGCCGGATGCTCACTGGCGGCAGCCCGAAGCCCGCGCTGCGCGCCGGCAAAAAGCCCCAGCCAGAAGAGAAGGCTCCTGTCAGGTTAAAACGATGAAAGAAGAGGTCTGAGAAATGAACGCTGATCCAAGCTGAATTCAGAGGTTCTTAAACCCTCGCAAAATTCGTGCTATCTTTGTTAAAACTTCTGTTTGGCAGATAATCCTCGTGGATATTTGGAAAAGAAATATCAAGAAACTGACTAATTTATAGGTGAAATTCAGTGTTGTTAAAATGACTTTTGCTGCCGGCAGCTTATGAGTGAATACAGGGCAAGAAATTAAGGCGCAGCTATTAGGTATTGCTTTGCTTTGCCAGAATTGAGAGTGTGGACCAAATTCATTGTGTGAGCTGTTTAAAAAAGGTTCATTTCTTCTAACTGCATGGAGCAGTGACTCATGGAACAGCTTGATCAGTGCAAGATCAGGTTTTTCAACTATGAAACACCTTCATCAGCTGTGTAGATGCTCAAAGAATTTCTATGAATTTATAACGAGACAGCTATATTTGGTGCCTGGAGATGTAGGACACTTAAAAATACAGAAAAAGCTACAGAAAAAATTTCGCTTCACAGCTGGATATTTTTTTAAACAGGAGCCTTGATATTTTAATCCCAAAATGTTTTGTATTCTATAAATGCCTTAATCCTCTGAGTGTACCAGTACTGTGTAAATGTAAATTAAGCACGACATTATTTCAACAACATCAATGTGAATGTGTATCTCTGATTGCATACAGTATAGTCATGGATGGAACATACTGTACCTGTGAAATACAGTGGGTTGGATTAAAAATTGGACTCTATTTTGCAGTATAAGTTTGCATCTATTTCCCACCTCAGATTTCAAAGAAATCAGGTCATCTCATCTCCAAGAAGATAACAAACAAGACTTAAGTGGAACAAGTCATGCTTTCCTCAAGCTTTAATCAGCAAGTGCCTGGCTAGATATCCTGTCATACAGGCCCCTCAGTTTCAGCTGGGCTGTGTGTCAGTCCTGATGATACACTGTAAACTGGTACACTGAAATGGAAAACAAGGCAACCTGTTGCCTCACCTGAAGTTTCCGCACCTTCCTTTTATCAGGAGTTTCCTCTTCTCTTTAGGCACTTTAGGCAAAGTGGGATGGTCAGCCCTCAACCTTCTGTTTGGCACGGGTGGCTGGTCTGTTTGCCACATTTCTTTCCAGACATCCATGTTTTCCAACACTAGGCTTCAAACTGATCACATTATTTAGCAAGTTCCCTATGATCTGAGTCAACATCTAGCATCTTATCACAGAAGCCACCACCGTGTGTGAGTCCCAAAACCTTCCCAACCAAACCAAATACAGCGTTTCAGGTGGCAAGATCATGGAGACTTTGACAGGAAGCATATTATGACACCTGCAGTAACAAGACAAAAACAGCTTTCTATTTCTAGAATTTATGTGAATTTCTATAGAATTTAAGTGTCATCAAGCATGCCTAGAGAGAGAACCAAGAAAAGTATTTTAAAACAAATATAAATAAGCAAATCAGCAAGGAACAGAATGGAAAACTTAAAAAAAGATATCTTCCATCAAATGTCTAGGTCTTAAATGTAATAAAGGATGTTGCTTTTCAGAAGAGGTTCTTGAAATTAGCTAGCAGGAAGGCTGGAAATATGATTTGTGCTTCCTTCTGTCCCCAGCTGTTTAGAAAGTTATCCCAGCAACTGGTATTATTAGTCTTTCTAACCTATTAAAATAGAAATAGCCCCCTCCCCTCTTTTTATTTGTAACCTTTAATGCATTCTCAACAGATGAACATGTACATGTGAAAGGGCTAATTCTCCTTTTTGTACATAGATGGCATATCTTACATTTTCATCTTTTAAAAATAAACATTGCATTAGACATGATAATCAACAAGGAGCCTTGAGACTTTTTCAGGATGCCATAGCCAAGTATCCTTTATTATATATGCATCTTAGTAACAGTCCAATTTCTGCTCTTAATATTACAAAGACACCATACACAATCATTAATTACTTGTCTGGTTAAAGAGCCTTTTTCCTTGTGGTTTTTTTTTTTGAAGATGTCAGGTGGCAAAGCACAGACACGGAGTTTTCTATTTCTTTACCACCAGCAAGTTTCAACAATTCTTTAAGTGCATTCTAAAGCCATTTCCATGATTTCAAAATTTATAGTAAAACAGAAGAAAATCATTAAGTGACATTAGATTTCTTCTTTATCTCAGAAAGGTAATGAGACATCACCTCTTCATATCAATTTCCTGCTGTCTTAGGTTCTCAGATCTCATGACAGCAAACCATCATTTCACTGATAATTAATGGCACTGTTTAAAAAGCTAAAAGTGAGCATGTGTCATGATGTGGCCAAATTTCAGATCAGTGAAGCATGAAAGAAGCATAATTTTTACAGAAAGTAATTATTTCCCATTTCAGTTTTGGGTTCCTGTGAGTATTTTTGTTTTTGATTTGTCTCAGCTAATCAGAACAAATGCCATCAACTTTGTAAAATAACGTCAATTATTAAGATATGCCTTAAGGACCCAAACATATATGCATGTTTCACAAATGAGGGTACAGGATTGAATGGTCTAAGGTTTTAAAGGACATATATTTGTCCTTGATATTTTCAAATATCTCAGATCTGCTTTTGTTTTTTAAGGCTGAGTAATATTATAAGAAATGTATATATCACCAAATGTCTCACACTTTGAACAGACAACGTAAAGAAATATTTATGTACTATTCTGCAAGTGGAATGTTCACAGAGAACTGAACTTGCAGTTTAAATTAATTTCCAAACATATCTTAATACACTGTACAATATCTTACAACCAAATACAAACTCTTAGTTAAAATATTTCTACTTTAAGTGGATTAACAGCAAAACGTCATATGGCGCGTAATAAATATCTCAATTTATACAGCTTTTTAATCACATTCTTGCAGAATCTTACAAAGAATTTGTCTGCTCCAACTCTGTGCATTTTTGACATGCGTTAGTTAAAATTAATGAATTCTTTGAAAGAATTCCATAGAAATGATGTTTCCACCAAAAAACCCAAAAGTCTAGAATTACTTTCAGTGTTTGTTAAAACCTGTGGCACTGAGGAACCAGCAAAGACAAGCACAGTCAGCTGAATTAGAAAAGGAACATAAACCCCAGTATTATACCTGTTAGCAAAAACAACTTGGTTTTTTAGAATGTACAAATAACTTAATAGAAAATTACTTTTTGAGAAGGACAGGCAGGTGAAACCAGGTTTAGAATAACATATTTTCTGTTTTTTTTACTAGAGATTTCTTTTATATATGTGATTTATTAAGTTTATAATATTTCTTTAAGATACTATAATATTAAATTTATAAGATCTTGCTATTTGTCTTTTGCCACCAATGATGAAACTCAGCACTTTATAACAAAGGCAGGATTCAATTCTTCACACTCGTTCAATTTTATTAACTCAGTACCCACCAAGGTATTTTAAAATTCCAATACAGTAGAATGTGAAACATCAGTTAACTTACTGTAATATTGCTTTAAAATCGTTACCACTTTTTTAAAAACTAAGTAAAAATTAGTTTTTACTTTCCAGCTCATTGTTATGATTTTTCATACAGCAACCATGAAGATTTAAATGCACTCCTGAGCAATCTTGCCTAACTTATAAATTGTTTTTCCATCTGAAGTTGCGAGTTTCATCAAGTACTGTTAAGAAAAAGACACCAAATTAGTCACAAATCAATACTTAGATTTTATTTATAAACATTGATAAACTTAACATGTACATGTATGCCTACACATGACATTCATTGTTAAAACTAATTAAATACTTTCCTTCATGCCAGTGTTCAGTTTTAATTGAAGGTGATAAACATTAACTATTTCACAATGTAACCTAGCAGTATAAAGAATGATTAATAAAAAGGTCTTAATAATCCTCTAGTTATTTAAAGTTTCGTATATTAAACTTTCAAGATATTAAGAAATCTGAGGTAGCAGAGCGCTTGTTGCATTTTCTGAGATTTATAACCTTTAGATGGAAAAAAGTCTGTGCTCCTAAATTAAGAATAGCCAAATTACTTTTTATCTCTTCATCAGCTATGATGTGAAACAATGACCAAATTATTTATATCCAACCATGGGATAAAGCTTACACATGTACATTATGCCACACTCCTGCTTACAAGACATTATTTTTGTTTTAAGTAGGAAGAGCAACATTTTTGCTTGAATTAAGAGGCAGTGTCACTCCCGACTGCAGTTATAAAAATTACGTACTGACAAAATCTGCAATCCCTAGTATTGAGTGGGTAATTAATGATTGCAGCAGGCAGCTGCAATATGGCCATCATCTGCAGTGAGTAACTCACTTGTAAGGTTGCAATATGCCTGTCACCTCCATTATTGATACTGACAAGATGTTCTTTTGGAAAAACATTTTGAGAAAATTAAGCAAGACAGTGTTATGTCTACAGCTCAAGTCCTCCATAACAAGAACAAAACTTGAGATGCTGCAAGATCTCAGAATATGTGGAAAGGCCATCAAAGGATATTAAAATCAAATGAGCAAGTACCATGAGTACACAAGCATTTATATGTGACATGCTCATAATCAACAGAATCAGTCTTCCTCAACAGATGCCCCTAATTTGAACTGCAAAATGGGCAAAGGTCATGTAATGTTAAGCATTTACCATTGGTCTGGGCCTAAGCTTGTATTTAAAAATTCAGTAACCTCAAGTGTTCCGATGAGATTGCTTCTCACATTCTCTGTGCCCACAAATTCAAGTTTAAAAAACAAAACAAACTTCAAAGGGCACATCTCATGCTTCCAGGAAAGTAAGACACACATTTGAATCAAGGGCCTCCAACTGGAGTAGGGGAATCCCACAAATTATTCTGACTAGCATCCCCTCTAGTTATTTAACCTTTCTAATAATTTCAAGTAGTTGATACTTTGTGAAAAGATTAATGACTGTATCTGCTCCCTCTTCAAAACTAAAATGTGATTTCTGAGAAAAACTGAGTTATTTTTGTTCAGTAAACATGAATTGGGTAGTTTTGAGAAAACAAACCCTTAAATCAGTAGCTCACTCAACTAAATTATTTCCTGGGTATTCAAGATGCAGACACTCTTGTAGGGAAGACTACCTTTAAAGAAAAAGTTAATTTATCTACTATTTGACCTCAACAGAAAATACGGTTGCTTGAACTACTTTGAGAGTGAAAAGAAGGGATAAGGAGTCAACAGCACCTCAGGCCCTTGATGAGTCTGGTAGCACAAAATTGGAGAAATTTATAGCTCATGGATGTATGTTAATAACCAAGAATTGAGATAATATTTAAAAGCTGCTGCAGTAAGTACCATGCTGGCAAAGTTTCTACGGTATTCTGTACAAAATAAGCCCAAAGAGGACATTTTCTGAACTTCAGTAATGATTGTATTCTATGTGACTCTAGTCTGTTTTCCTTGAATAAAAATCAGGTTGTTATTACTATTACAAAAATTCAGTCTCAATTGTTCAGTTAGTACCTAGTACCATTCTATCAGTAAGATAAACAGAGGGTCTAAGTTGAAAAAATACGCTAATTTATGTTGTTATTCAGGTTGGTAAATGGTAAAAATCTGCAACAGCTGTTAATTCATGTTATTATTTACTTACAAATAGTCAGTCCTGAGTGCAGTTATGTATTGTATAGGAAGAAATATTTTCCTAAGCTTTGACTGAATAATGTGTCCATATGCACAGGCCATTACAGAAATAGAATACTTGACCTTATTCGTTAAGAGTAAAGGCACAATGTAAAAACAGTAAACTAAATACAGCAGCTCTACTTAGGCACTCTACTAATCAGAAATTGTAAAAATTGACATTGTGTGATTTTAATTATCTCTATAACATATACACACAAAAATATTCAACATTTAGTCTGGGCACAAACTTAAATGTAAACCCGTAAAATGTACATGCATATTTAGGTATGAATTTCAGAAAATATAGGAAGATGTAAATGCTGGCATTGGATTGTATTCTATGGTATGTTTTAAATAAAGATGGAAAGGCATATACATTGCAGTAATCTGAGCTCTAAGCACTCAAATACTTAGTAAAATATTTTCTAAAAGTTTGTGAATACTGTACAACCATTCTGTATATTACTCTACTTCAATTTGTATGACGGACAGCTAATGCAAAAAATTGCACTTTTTTCCGCCCTAGAAAATAATGCACTAAAATAACATAAGAACTAGTGTATAGAACATCAAAATGAAAATGACCCTCCTTCCACCCTTCATTCACAACTTACACACTTTTCCTTCTTTTTCCAGCTTCTTCAAGTGGACCAGGAGGTTACGTTCTGCTGCTGGAAGTAAATTCTCAGGGATTTCCTAAAGGGAATGAAAAATATGCATTTTGTATTTAAATATCCATCAATTATTTTGTTAAACCATGGAACCCATGGTTTATTACCATAGATGTTCCTCTTGTGAATCGGTATGGGAACATTCCATTAGTTATGTAACAACTAACTATATGTTAGTGAATCAATTTTACACCAGTTAAACGCGCAGTCTAACAACACATTTTTGTTTACTCTCCTTGGTTTTTTGCATTATCCATTTGTATGATGGAAACTTTGGCCAGCACTAAGAAGAATTCTCCTCTGTTTTTTGCATTATCCATTTGTATGATGGAAACTTTGGCCAGCACTAAGAAGACTTCTCCTCTGATCTTGATCTGCCCTGGATTGTCAGTGTAGCTGAGTATTTTTAAAGACAAATTTATAATGCATTTCTCCATAGATAACTATCTGTTCTATTCCATGACAACATTTGCATAGGTTTAAATATCCTGTAGCCATTAGTATCTGTAAATGAGTAAACAATAAAAATATGTAACAGCTTCAGGAGGACAAAATATTTTTTACAATTCTTCAATGCTTATTATGTAAAAGCAGTAACACCTGTTGCCCAGAAAAGCTGTGGATGCCCTATCTCTAGAAGGGCTGAAGGACAAGGTGGATGGGGCTTTGAGCAACCTGGTCTTGTGGAAGGTGTCTCTGCCCTTGGCTGAAATTGCTGACCTTTAAAATCCCTCCCAACCCATACCATTCTATGATTGTATGACTACTGCCCAAAATACTCCTCTCCAGCTCTATCATCCTAAACACAAAACTCTTTTTTTCCTTTTTGAAAATTAAAAAGTTATTCAAATACTATGTATGGCAGGAAAAGTCACTAGAAAACCAGTTAAATAAATGTGAACCTTGAGAATACTTTGAAAGCATATACATTTCTTTGTAATAGTACTGAAAAAATTCTTACATAGGCAGGACAAGTGCTTTGTGATTTACAGAAACACGAGAATGGCTTTATGCTTAAAACCTAGTTCATCAGGCAGGAGAACTGCAGAAGCTGAATGACCATAGGTAATGGTGTATCAGCACTGCAAAACGTTCGTGGTGACATAGGCATTCTTTCGGAAACTGTGTATCGGCAGAACTACTAAAAATGAGCTTTGAAGCTGTTACAGACCAGTTCATGAGCCACAGCTATTGGCAAACTTTGACATCTTCCTCCACAGCAGAAACACTGTATCTCTTATCCCTGCTTGTTAGGAGGGCAACTCCCAACCACAGCGAAAAGCTGAAGAGGCTACATGAAGGATGATGAAGTAGCAACAAAGTACTGTTATACAGTCTAAAGACACATACAACATCGGAGCTGCGATATATTTCTCTTTGCTGTGGAATTGCAGTTCACTGGTAACCTCTTGCAGACTGATAAATCAAGAACTCAATTTTCAACCATTCTTCAGGAGACTGCAAACACACTTTGGGAAATCCATAATTAATAGTCATGTCATACTTTTCATTCTGAACTATGCACTACTATTTAATTTTTGCTTAGTCTTATGAAACTGTGCCTAAGACCTGGATAGTTAAATAAGTTTGTAAGAATCATGTGGGCCTCACCTCAATTGAGTGCTTAAATGAGACAATTTAAAGGTACAATCATAATTGAACTCTGAACAGGCAGAAATATTTTTTATCCCTTTCAAGAAGCCACCATGATTTTCACTCAAAAACCAACACTGTTACATACAAGTTTGATAAACCTAACCTCAATTTTCTTTAGATTGATCTGAAAACTTTTGATCAACAATTACCTTGTATACCATCTTTACAAGCTCTGAGGATGTATATGATTTCCCAGTATTCTTCTGGAAAACATTTATAATTTGCTGTTCACGTGCAAGTCGGTGAGAAATGTAGTTTTGGATTCTAGTATTTGCATCACGTACTACTGGGCCGTGACCTAAAAATCAAAACACATGTACCAGAGCACTATTACTTACATTTGTAATTAAGTACACTACTGAATAATTGAAACATTCTTTTGTAAACTCTAGTAGATTTAAAACTAATGAGAAAAAGGTTTGAATGTCTTTATTACAGTCTGCATCTGCAAAGCATTAAGATGGAAAGGAAAAACTAGGATATTAAAAGTCTGAACAGGGAAAAGGGAATACTTCAGATGGAATAAGGAAAGCAAGGGCAGACTACTTTAGGCCATTAGAAAAAAGGAAAGGAGTTCACTGCTGAACAGATTTAGAAGATGAGATTCAGATTACTGTATTATCTCTGTTTCCTTGTCTTTCACTCCCCAAAGGATATTGACACTAATGATTTAAATTGATACTGGCCTTTGAACAATAATGGCTGATACAAAGGATTCAGGTGTTACTGTCCTGTTGGGGCAAACACCAAGGTGACATGTTTAATGGTGATGGGTACTTTTCCCAAACAAATCTTCAAAACTGATTCACACACTGTATTTTATGCCTTTAGAAACACTGTCGTGAGTATGATAAGAAAAATTAATAGGACACAAATAAGTGAGGCAGTCAGAACATGTCAGGGCAGGAAAAATGGAAGGCACAGGGAAAGTTATAGGTGGATTATTTTATTATTTTATGTCTGGCTGGTTAATAAGCAAAACATATTTTTTCCTGGACTGACTGTGGCAGATCAGAAATGTTCAACTTAAAGGTCTTTGAATCACATTATGAAATGGCTTAATTGGTAAAGCACTAATCTTTACAAAAAATCAAATCTCACGGTACATTAAAATGACAGAAAATATTGTTCAGCCATGAGAGCTACATGCATAGAAATTAAATTTATTGTGTTACCTATAGAGGAATTGACTTGCACAAACATTCATCACATACTTTTTACAGCAAGGTTTCCTCTTTCTTTGCCTGTACAACTCATGTGAAGTAGCAGCAGCAACTTCCAGCTCTGCCCTCTGAATGCACACTCTAAGAAATTTATAAAATTAATAGAAAAGGAACTACTGTAAAAAACTATAGCTTTCTTTTAGAAGTTACTTGGTATCATCAAAATCAGTTTATTTTGAGGTTCTCTAACTATGAAAAAAATCACTGTATTCTTTACTTGCACTTTTGGGTTTACTGATTAAATGGGTTTTTAATTTTTAAGCTTTAAAATCAAAGCTTATTTTGCCTGATGACAGGCAGCTTATAGAAAAAGAGCAACTGATTTTTCATGTTTTGAACTAGTGTCAAAGGAGTCTATCCTTCTACAAGTCAAAATATTTATACATCTCAGCTTACACACTCCAGCATGTTTGAAATTACTAAGTATACATTGAAACTTACCTTGTTTAAGTATTAAAAATACAAGATATGAAATGTGTAAACATAAAGCTATACTAAAATATGCATTTATATTTAATGATTTCAAACATATTTAATATGAAGCTATTTTTCCTTACAAAATAAATTACAAGTATAACAATATCTCTACTGTTACCATTTATACACCTAAAACTTAAAAACTTTTTAGAAAAAACACAGTAAGATATACAAAGCAGAGACTGTAATGTTAACTGTCCATTCTCTTGCATTCTCTAATGACGGAAATCTCACTGAAGTAATCAAAATTATGGGTTGAACATGGACTCTCAAGGCATTCTTAAAACCTGTCCCTACTCTTCCAAGCGATTTAATAGACTTAGACTACAAGACCAATGTCAGAACCTGAAATGGAACCCTCATTTTGCAAAGTTAAAGGGACTTCATATCTATTACATCATCTGATCAGTAGCTGTTGTGTACGCATATATGTACATTAAAATGATCTCAGAAAGCTGGGAACTAAGTCCAGATGTGGAACTTTCCCATCCGTCATTTTTCAGGGACAGCAGTAGAGTTATTTATTTATTAATGAATAAATGGATTAATATCTGAGTAAAAGTAAAATGCTTCTGAGCATATGAAAAGCACTCTCAAAATCTGACCGTCTTTCCATGAATTCAGGTTTAATTTCAGACAGATACATATTATTTCCTCATAACACATTGTAAAGTGTGAGATTCTCTTACTTTAAATTACAGCACAAAGGACAGAAGTGAAGAAAACAATTGGTTCATGAAATCTTCCACAGATTCCTAATTCCAGTACCATTTTTTTCTGTATTACCAAGGAAAATTGTATATTATTACAGGATGGGGAGCCTTTTGCTGACTAAAATGCCCTTTTCTTGTCCCAAGGATTCTCATCAAGTATTATCTGTAATTAGATATCCTGAGTGTTGTGCCAGAGTAGCTTCCACATTAAATTAAAAAAGAAACAAAGAAGGGGAAGGAGTGACAAAATTCACCTACTCTCAGGTAGTCAGCAGTCAGTTTGTTACAAAAATTTGTGTAATTCTGAGGTTACCACATGAGTGCTAAAGCATTGGTGGAGGAAACAGTTCAAGAGTTATGAAGACTTAATACTGCAGCACAGAGTGATTTGCTTATATAGAATATATTGGTAAAGCAAACTATTTCTGCTGTAGTTATACCCAACAGTATCACCAATTGTTCTGATTGGGCAATAGCACTTTTTGCACAACTGCATGTACATTTTGTGGTGTCTGGATGAATAGTTCTAAACCATCTCAATACTTAGCTATCATCACTGAAAATTCACAATATCAGACTGGCTTCCTAATTGCAAGTCCAGTAAGAACACAGTTAAAACAGTAGCAAACACTTAGAAATAAAGAGCACAGATGTTCAGCCTTGGTGAATGTGTAATCTAGATACAAAACTATTAAGAACAGAGTGAAATACAATAGATAAAATTGACAAACCAAACATAATTGGACATATATGGGGTTTTGGAAGGCAGAAATTCAGTTAGAGGAACAGACTGCATTTTGCAGGTGTTAAGAAAGAAAGAAAGTAAACATTTGGTTTTACTTTCTAAAAAATTGTTAGTTTTAATAGTTAGTTAAATCAGTTAAGTTTATTAGTTAAGTCAGTTAAGTCAATATATATGACCAAGTCACTATTCTGTCTACATCAACCTCCACATCTATGGAATATGTAAGAAAGTTTTTCTTAAACAGCATTTTTATGCTGAGATCTTAAAGGACACATACTTCAAAAGAAGGCTATTTTAAGAGTGAACATAAGAAAGTAGGCTAAGCATAGATGGCTAATGGAAAAAGGCACAGCTGAGAACATAGATACAGTAGCTTGGAATGAGAAGTTGAAGATGAGACAGAAAAAGTCAGAAAAAAACCCTGAAATGTAGCTCTGAAAAAGCAAATGAGGAGCTTAAACTGTAGTTACATAATGAATTCTTAAAATGTAGTCTTGTCAAACAGACATGTGGTATATATGAAAAGTAAATGCATTCCCAAGGTTTGAAGGAGAGAGTGAGAGAGAAAAAAACTAAAGGAAATTCATAGAATGAATGAATAGGCAACTTATTTTTAGAACATTTTTGGCCCCCTAGCTCTTGTTCAAATTGAACCTAAATCATTAACTAAGATTACCACTTTACAGTTCTACAGCTTTCCAAGACAAGTTTGTGATTAATCTGTACTGCAAAGGACATACAACTATCTCAAAAAACATTACTAGGGTACTCACATTGACAGTGTATGTGGGTATGAAAAGGAACGAAAGAACAATTATTACTTTTTTCTTCCAGGATAACATTCAAGGACAGGGATGGAATAATAGAAGAAAATTAAATCTGCCTTACTATTCCAACAGTGAAAGATTTTGGCCCCTGAAGTCTTTGGGCACAGAAAGACAAGACACACCCTGAAATGGAGAAATTTAAGAAAGATACCTACCACTGAAAATGTTCAAGTTTTGCAAACCACTATGACAAGTCAGCTTAGCTTACTGCTTATTAAATTGAATTGTTACATCAGGAATGATGTTTGATTGTAATAATAGTTCTCAAATTCTTAGAGGAGATATTTAAAAATTACACAGTAAAAGAGAGAAGTTAAAACCAAAACCACTTACCTGGATAAATCAAATCTGGTTTCATTTCTAACAACTTTTTCAAAGTTTTCATGTAATCAGACAGGTCTTCTATTACTGTTGTTCCTTCCCCTAAAATACAGTCACCAGAAAATACAGCATTTTCTTCTTCTAGATGTAAAATCATATGATCATCAGTGTGTCCTGGTGTATATAAAACTCTGTTTAAAGAACAAAGAAAGCATATGTTTTTCATATATATATCTACACTTCGTTTTTGAAGCCAGAAAAAATGATGGTAAACTAATACACTTGTAAAGCAGCCCATAACAAGAATCAGAAAAAACTGACCAAAAAAGGCTGAGAAGTTGATGTAAACAGGTATCACTTTGCCTAATCCCAATCAATTTTCTTATACCATCCAGAGAACACCAATCATCCCTAGCATGCTTTTACTTGCATGACACACCATATCAAGTGCATTAAAGGAGCTGACTAGCCATGCAGAATTTCTGTTATAGAGGGAGTTATTCTGAAGCTTTAAAAAATAAGATTGACATGTTATTTCCAGATTGAAACACTTGAAGTTCTTGACATACACATTGTACTTTTGGAGGGTAAGGATGATATCTATTCTTTTAGAAATTAACAACAAACTTCTGAACCTGACCCAGATAAAGTTCAGTCTTCAAAAATTTATTTTTCCCTGCAAGTCTTTCAGCTTTTCTATGTGCAGGTCATTAAACACCTGCATGGTAAGGATTAAGGACCCACAGCTTGCACAAGCAGTGTATTAGCATGCAGCAAAGGAGCAGTAGGTATGTATGCAGTATATGGTAACCTAAGCTGCCAAGGAGCTGCACTGGGGTGTCCTTTCACAATGATTTCTGAAAAGCAGAAGGGCCTCATGCTAAGGCTGATGCAGACTGAAAGTAACACAACTCCAACCAGCATCACTGCTAATATCCATTAGAATCTTGTTAATGGCAGATGCATTAAAACAGTGATCAGGAAGGTGCCAAGTGTGGTGTACAGGGCAAGGCTAAACAGCTCCCAGCCATGCTGAAGCAGGGCTGGGAGACCACAAGTGCAGCATCATCTGATGCTCCTACTGAATACTGAGCTCAGCAGAAAGCAGGTGAGCCATTGCCTTGTGGAGGCAACATCAAAATCAAGTTGATGGGCTCACCTTTGGGACATGGTATCCTTCAGTTCTTGATGAAATTTCACCAGGAAGCCAAACCACTAACATGAAAAAAATAGCAGAAAGAGAAGGCCAGACAGTGTGTGGAGAGGTGTTGCCAGCATGCCTTTCCCCCTCGCTGTGGCACACCTTGAAAACCTGATGGTTGCTAACTAAAATTTAACATGCAGATACTGCTGGTTTGGAACCAGTGATGGGGTTTAGGAGTATTCTTGAAGTGGTTACTGAATTAACCCAGGTGAGAATACCTGCTTTTAACCAACCATAAAGTTTGGCTGCATGACTCCTGTTACAATTCACCTGTAGGGGCCGTAATGTTTGTTATAAATTCTCTTCAGGATCAATAAGGACACCAGACTATGTGTCTGGGAACTCCCATGCCTTCTGGTATAAACTAGCCCACTATTTGGTTTCAGAAGTGTCGGCTAAAGAAGCCCTTCACTTCTAGGACACACTTCAACAAGCTCCCAATCGTCACAATAAACTTCTCCCAGGTGTTGGCTACAAGCCCTGTATTTTTACAACACCCTTCAAGAAGCTCCCAACTCCCACACCAGCACAGCCGGCCTGTTTGAGCCCTCCAGGCACCAAGCTGGGGTGGGGGACTGGTGAAGGCACCAAGCTGGGGTGGGGGGACTGGTGAAGGCACTGTGACTCTGAAGTTAGAAAAGGAAGCTGGCTCAGGACCGTGCTGTCCCACCTCCAGGGGACTCTCCAATAGCAACTTCCCTGTTGCAAGTCAGAATGTCTGAGACAAAACATGTACTCCACAAACTTCAAAATGGGCTAATCCTTGACTGACTTGAAATTAAAAAAAAATATTTTCCATCTCCAAATTTTTGTCTAAACATGGGCCACTTAGGGTAGTGAGAGGTCTTCAGTATGTAATACAAGATGTTTTTTACTTTTATTTTTATACTAATAAAATAAAATGCTTTTTGATAAAAGACATCCCTTTTCTTTTTAAATGTTTTTTTCCTTGCAATCAACCAAGTCACATATTCTACAAGTGGGATATAATCTAAAATGAAGAAAACAGGCAAACTTTGTCTGTGTAAGAATAATGCCTTGTTAAAGAAAGGAGTCTGAAAACAGAATGATCAGACCTTTTTATTGTGTGTGTGCCCCCACAAGGCACAGTAGCTTTCTGTTTCACACTCATTTAGACTAACATTATAGGTAGTATGCATCACAGAAAGAAGTCCTCCAAAAGCTGGCAGCCTACAAGAACCTCATAGGTTCAAGGTCTAAAATTTAACATTTTAAGTATTAAATGTTTTAGAGTCTCCTAGGGAAATATTTTTAAAGTAAAAAGAAAGGCATGCTAATAATCCAGTCAGACTACTATAGACTTCCACAATTTTAATAGTAACTAATTATGTAAGAGTGATGAGAAAGTATTAAAATTTTATTTCCTTGGACAAAGTGTTTTTCTAGGGAAATATTGTTAATTTCTCTGCTGAGTCTAAAGACTAAATCTGAAGGCTAATTTCTGACAATTCTCATTCATAAAAACAATGTCTTTGTATTAACATATCCTGCGGGATCATGGCAGGAAGTCTACACGCATAAGCACTGAAAAGATTAGATGTATGGGAACCATTAGGAATTAGGATACATGTACATGTCAGAATTCTGAAAAAAAAAAAGAACTTGAAGAAATTCATGGTTACCTGAGTGTGGCTCCTTCTGTCTCTATCACATCTCCATCTTTAAGATAAAAATATTTATGTCCTCCTTCTATTGTTTCTTCACAGTGAGGGACACGAGGGAGCTTACATATGCGATATTCTGAGTCTAATATTTAAGGAAAGCAAAGAAAATGATGTTTTGAATTTGTTGCTAACAAGGTAATGCCACAGACAGGTTACTTTTTGAATAAGTACTATTAATTATCACACAGTATGAATACAAAACTAGAAACAACAAATTCTGTAAAGTATCATATTTATATTTGTAGAGCAGCCTTATTCCAGAGCCAAAACCACTGAACAGTGAAAGCCACTGATTCTGAATACAGCACTCTGTACCAGTGACAAATTTGAAATTGGGGAAAAAACACAAATGGAATTAATAAAGATCAGTAATATATTTTACAAATGTTCTTTCTTGACTCATGAGTCAATTCCCCCAAGTTTTTACAATGCCACTAGATTTCTGCCCTTACATTTTGCTTTATGATTCACAGAAGCATCACATTTGTCTAGAATTGGATGAAGATTTTTTGACCTGCCACTTCTCTCAGATTTTACCATTCTGACCAGTGCACAAAATGCAAACACCTTGGCTGGAACAGCTATAGACAGCAAAGGCATTCATATCCCTTGCTAGTCTTTACAGCCACACTGATAGGCTGGCAAGCCCAAAATCCTCACCAAGACATCAATGTACCCATGTCTCCAAGACACCAATTGTTTACAGTAGCACCCAGGTTTCATTAAAGATAAGCCCCTGGCAACTTTACAAAATTAAGCCTGTGACAAAGCTCGTGACAAAGTCCAACAATGTTAAGAATTACCCACATTACCCATACTGCTTATTCTCTTCTCAGATACCAACAGAGAAATGTATCTTACTGTTTGTCAACATGAAATACATATTTTTAGATCAAATTTTACTTGCATACTGCCCTACTGCTTTCCCCTCATGCTCTGAGGCTTATGAATTTGTCAGCAACTACTAACAGGCTCCTGTAAGGAATCCCAAAGTTATGCACATTTCTTTTTCAATATTCAAGCAATTTGTTTTTACAAAAGTGAAAATAACAATAAATTTATCATTGTTGTCCAAGTAAAACAGAAGCAGTTTTTCAAGTTTTTCTCATATCTTTTAGTACCATGCTGATAGCAATCTATGTTTTTATTATTTACACGTAAGTAAAATTCACTGTGAAAATATGCACAGGTATCAAAGAAAACCTGTAGTACTACAATTAAATTAATATTATTCATTGCACTCAATCTACACACTGCAGCAGGATCATGAAATTGCATGTAATTTATACAGAAGAATAATCCAGTTGATTTGCACAGAAGCATTCTGTGCTTAATGCTTTTCTTGCCATGTATTTAACATTTTCAGCAATATCTGAAATCTCTGCCTACCACTCGGAATGCTTTTGCAGATATCAGGGATTCCGCCAGTATGATCACGATGCCAGTGTGTCACTAAAATTTCTTGAATGGCGATGTTGAACTCTGACAGTGTCTGCTTCAAACAGCTGATATATTCAGGAATACCTGGCTCTCCAGTGTCAATAAGGACTCTTCTACACACAGACCACAAAAAAGGGAGGGAGAGACACACACCAGATAATAAAAAGTGTTCACATGACAGCCAAGTAATATTAATAAAAGAAGCCAACAAATGGAAATTTAGCAATAATGGATGCCTTCATATCCAGACGCCACTTTTTACCTACTGACATTCCTCTCCCACGGCATAACAATTTAAAAAGTAGGGCAAGTAATAATGTAGGCCACACATTTACGATTCCGCGACAAGTGGCAGGAGGCACCGTTTAGTCCCGCGGGGGAGCTGAGGCACAGCCTGCTTCCCTCACTGAATTCCCGGCCTCGGCTCAAGGCTGCCCGGACGAGACTCCATATCCCACCCGCCCAGGCCGCCTCCGGGCACTGGCTCCTCAAATCCAACGCTCTGCGCTTTCTTTCCTCCTTTCAGCGCTGACTAAGGGATTTGGGAGCAGGCCGGTAGCGGCCTCTCGAGCCGAAGGCAGCTCACGGTCCCCAGGCGGGGCCGGGGCAGCCGAGCCCGGTCCCGGGCAGGGCGGGTACCTGTGCCCGGAGCCCACCAGGTAGGTGTTGGTGCCCTGCAGGGTCATGGGCCCCGGGTTGCAGCCCAGCACTCGCACCACCCGCGACGAGAGCCGCTCGATGCGCGGCAGCAGCGACACCATCCCTGCGGCGGACGCCGCCGAGCTCCCGGCCGAGCTCCCCCCAGGCGCCCGGGCGGCGGGGCGGAAGCTCTGCGGCCGCGCTCCGCCCGCGGGGCGGCTCCTTCCCTTCCCTTCCCTTCCCTTCCCTTCCCTTCCCTTCCCTTCCCTTCCCTTCCCTTCCGATCCGTGCTCCGCGGCGGGCGTGAGGCTGCAGCCCGGCTCCCGGCGGTGTCGTGATCCTGTCGGATAAAGTCCTCCTCCGTGCAGGAGGTCAGTTCTCGGTGGAATTCAGTTCTCCGTGCCTCGCTGCTGCCCAGTGAGAGGCGTGTCCGTGCTCTGCCGGCTTTTTCCAGAGAAATTTGTTGTAAGAGACAAATGCGCCTTTTCTGTATCCAGGGTCACGCCTCCTTACAGCGGATGTAGGAACTGCGTATGCTCCCGCACGGCGCATAGGAGCTATCTAGGATTCAGCATTTTAAATAAAATTGGAGAGCTGCTGGAGAGTGTCCAGCAAAGGGCCACGAAGGTGATGAAGGGACTGGAGCATCTCTTTCGTGAGGAAAAGCTGAGAGAGCTGGGACTGTCCAGCCCGGGGAAGAACAGGCTCAGGAAAATCTCATCGTGTGTAAAAACCTGAAGAGACGGTGCCCAGGCTCTGTCACAGGGGAATCGCCTCAGGTCCTGTCATGGTGCCCAGTGCCAGCACCAGAGGCCATGGGCACAAAGTGGAGCATAGGATGTTCACTGAGCATCAGGAAACAGTTTTTCACTGTGTGGGTGACCAAGAGCTGGCCCAGGGAGGTTGTGGATTTGCATCCTTGGAGCTACTCAAAACCCATCTGGACACGGTCCTGGGCATCTGGCTCTAGGTGGCCCTGCTTGAACTGGGGGCTTCAAACATGAACTCCAGTGGTCTCTCCCCAGCTCAGCCATTCTGTGATTTTGTGAAATTGTGTCACTGTCATCCAAGCCGAAATAATGTGTTTGTAAGCACTGTTCATTGTAGATCCTGCAAGGTACTGAGATTTCCCTGTTTGGCTCTGCAGCATCTCCTCTGAAACCCCTGATTAATTGCCTTTCAAGTGACATTGTTAAAGAAAATAGGGTAGAGTTGTTCTCTCCTTAAACTATATGTAAGTGAAGAATAAACATAATTTAATCGGAAATAAAAGCAGGTAATATTACTGTGGGTAACTGCTAATATTAGGACTTTAAATATTATCTGATTGTTTTATTCTTATATAAAATCTCATATAGTACCTGTTGTAAGGTGATCATAGCAATACAAAGCCACAGCTGGAAACTGTACCACTGATGCTGATAATCCCTATATTTAGGCCTTCAAACCAATTTCCTTGATTTATCTGAAAAAATCTTTACTTATTTGAGATACCCATTTACTCATTTCAGGTATGAAACCACTACATTTATTTTTTTTATTTTCATGCTCATTAAAGTTTGATCTACAGACAACAGAAGGGATGTTTCAGGTCAAAGGAAAGAAGCTTTTATGTGTGCAGGTATGTTGTTGAAATAATAAAGAAAACCCCATACACAATATTCTCATCTCTCCCCATATCATTTACCTCTATGCTCTTTTGTAAGAAGCTATGACTAGACCTGTATTTACCTAATCCTGAGGTACCCTCTTATGCTATTTTTGTAGCATATTTGTATAGCTATTGGACTTTCAACCCATTTTCAGTCTTCAAGTAAAGTTTAATTTAGTCATTAGAAAAAGCTATGACCTAAAAACCAAGTTGTATATTTAAATGGTTTTTTATTTTAAAAAAAAAATCTGAAGGTTTAGAGAGGGTTTCCAAATTTATATTTTTTTATATGTCATTGATAACTCAGGTGGCATTATTTTGAACATCACAAGGCTTTTCCCCCCCCTCAAGCTATAGACTTGTTCTCCAGGGAATACTTGTTACAACTCTTGCTGTTGTGTAGTAAAGCATTTTCTGATGTTAGGCAGGAGCTGTGAATTTGTTTCATCTGTAGGTGGCAGCAATGGTGCCTTTGGAGAACGAAGTACAGGTTCTTTGATCATCTCCGTTTCCTGCACAAGCCCATCTGTTTAAAAAATCTGTTGTTCCTCTTAAAATACAGAGGTAATAGGCATGGACTGAAAGCCCTGCTATTATGCTCTGATGTGATACAGGAAAAGATGAATGTATACCCTCAAGTTCTTTTGGATCTCTGACTGTTTTGCATTGTTAAATTTTTGAGGGGAGAAAATGTTCTGAAGCATTTAAGCAACCTGTAAAAAAACCAAAACCTGCTGAGTTTCCTAAATAACAAATAAATAAATGTAAAATTAGATTGTTGGTGCTATTCAATGATTAATTTTGTAACAACTATGAGGTGCACAAGACACAGACTGTTATTTCTGAAAATCCAGCAAGGTTTGAATTTTTAGCACTCAAGAAATCTTTGAGTATTGGCACTTGGCTTTTTTTTCACATTTTAAATGTAAATGTTGAGGATGAATGCCTCTCCGCTGTGGTTGTGTAATGGCTTAATAGAATAGCACAAGCATGTCATTTTGCAATAATTAGTCATAATCAATTGAATAGCAGATAGAAAATGTCTTGAGAGACTTATCTTCATAGTCATTGGCACATGAATATCTCAAGTTGATATTTTTACTTGCAGAATTTTCCTTTCTGTTTCATTATATTTTTATTCTTTTTATCTGGTACAGAGATAAGTAAAAAGACCTTAAACCAAAAAGAAGTGAAGCAGATTTTGCAGAGAGAAAGGCATGGGCTGCAAGATTCCTGCATGGAGAGGCAACACCATGTAGGAAATGTAAAATAGTCAGATCAGCAGGTTTGTGGGAGATGATTTGAGGGGATGATGAAGGGCCTGGGACATTTCCATAATAAGGAAAGTCTGAAAGAGCTGGTGCTGTCCTGTGTGGAGAAAAGAAGCCTCAGCAATGCCTATAAATATTTTAAGGGTCCTTCCTACCAACATTTGGAAGCAAATGAAAGGATATATACTGAATACCATAGGAGATTTGTCACAATTTACAATTGTGCTTGCTTTGATGCCAAGTCTAACCAGAAAACAAATGAATCATCCTGCCAGTAATTTATCTTGTGAGTTGCTTGATTTACACTCCAAGAATTTGGCACAGAAACTTTGCCCCTCCCTCTGTGCCATAGAGTTTTGTAATTTTTTCTTATTATAATAAAGGTCATAGCAGTGAGTTTGTGGTTTGGCTGACTTAATGGCCTTTCAAGCACTGCAAGGACTGTTTAGGACTAGGATGTTTCTAAAGTGTAAGGGAGAAGCAGGAAGGCACCAAAAAAGACAAGGGTTGATATCATGTTCATTATGAAGACACTGAGGATTATACCTCCTGTCCTAAGAGGTAGAAAAGATACAGGCTGAGGTTGAGCATCATCCTGTGCAGCACATAACAGAGGTGAAATCACACCTGTGTTTTGTACCCTGAAGCTGTTTTAAATATGCATAAAAATTTCATGTTGAGTAACAACAGCTCAGCTGGAGCAGATTCTTGGAAACACCTGTGTTTTTACTAGAGGAAAACAATTTTCATCACCTGTCCTATGCTACATGCAATCACTTTATGCATCATTGCACAGAAGGGATATTTTTTTTTGAAGTGCATTGTATTGCAGTTTTTAATTATAGCCAAAAAATTGTTCTTTTTGTATAAATCTTTGGGACATATACATGGGTGTACAAATAAATTAATGAATATATATATATATAAGCAAACATACGCATATAATCACACACACATACACTTGTGTTTCCAGAAATATCTATTGACTTTTGCTCAACACGTCTAATGAACTAAAGTCTAAATTTGAAAAAGAATACACAGACACAGAAACATACAGGGGCAAAGTGGTACCTTTTTAATTTTACTTTGAGGAGGTAAATTGTTAAGTGATTTTATTGAAAAGAAAGTTGTAATCTGTTAAACTTAGTATTTATTATTAACAGGGACTTCTATGCAAAATTTTTAGAATACAATTTTTGTAATACCAGCATAAGAAGGACAGATAGTAAATCATTAACTGTGTCACATGTTTTCCATATGATTTGAGTTTCACTTTGTGTTATATCAGTAAGCCCTTTAATTTTCTTGGATTGCATGTCTTGTAAAGGTATGGATGAGGAAGCCGTGAATATGGAAATCTACAGTTTTTGAAGTGAAAAAGACCTCTATCCATGGCCAGTATTAAGGTAACAGCATTTTAAAATAGAATTTTAAATATGTAGTGAGAACTAAAGCCTTTATAATTCAATTTTATTGTTTCTGTTTTATCACAAAATGCTTCTGTATCACAAATTGATTCGGTATGTTAGTTTTTAGAGGGGGCTTATATTTATGTTGACTGACAGTTTACTCTTCATATAATGTGTTCAATAAGACTGGGGACAGTTTAATTCTGATTGATAAAAGAGACCTTCTCCTGTGGTACTTAATTGAAGCCCACCTGGTACTGAGACCATGGTGCTCTTTAGAGTATTATCATGCATAAAATGTAGGGTTATCAAAGGCTGGAATCTTCAACACTGATTTTATGTGCACTTGTGAGCAGGTGTTGGTGCTTGGATTTGGAATTAAGGCAATGGACATATGTGATAACAGATTTGTGTGAATTTTTTTTAGGTTGCCATGAACAAAATATAAACCTTGTGTCTTCTCAGCTGTTCCAAGGCTCTTTCAGGACTGGAATCCTTATTCAAAATAATTGTGAGACAGTGAGCAAGCTGACATGCTTGATAATGTGTGGCTCTTCATTTATCTCAGCTAACCTGATGGCTTCAAATAGCACCAAGATGTTCAGATGGGTCTGCAGACTGCTGACATGACAGTAGTTTGGACAGTAGGCTTGTCAGGAGTAGAAGTCCCCTGGCTCACAGCTTCTCTTCATGCTGTTATTTCAGAGGAGTCTGCCTGTAAAACTTCCTTTCTCCTATTCCACTTTGTGAAGTGCGCATTTACAAAAAGGATAGGGAGTCTATAAAGAAGGAGGAATCCTGTTACCTTTTCTGCTCATTCCAGGTGTAAGGCTACTCCTTGCCACTTGAATGTCTATTACAGTATTAGTCATTAAATATGAACCTTGGTTGCCGCGCCACAACACTTGGTATCTTGCCTGACATGGCCATAAATTGTCTTCCAAAAGACTTTCTGTTTGAATCGAGTTATTGACTAACCTGTTAATATTGTGCTTCCTGTAACAGTCAGTGAACTTGCTTTTTTTTGCTTTCTTTAATGTTTGCTTCTGGTTTTAAATCTGTTCTAAAAACCATAGATACATCTTGACAAAGGCGGTACTCAAGTTGCAGAATGGCATGTTGTTATATAGAGTAAATACTGTTTCCTTTGGAATTTTCTTGAATGAATCCTAGTAATAAACTCTTAAGTTGGTTCATACACAAATTTTCTGACAGAAAATTCAGAGTCACAAACCAGTTGGGGTTGGAAGGGACCTCTGAAGATCTTCTGATCCAAACCCCCTGCTAAAGCAGGTTCTGTAACAGATTGCACAGGTTTCCATCCAGGCAGGTTTTGAATATCTCCAGAGAAGGAGATTCCACAACTGGGCAGCCTGTTCCAGTGTTTTGTCACTCTCTAAGTAAAGTTTTTTCTCATATTCAGATGGAACTCTCTGTGTTTGTGTCCATTGCCTATTGTCCTGTTGCTGTGCATCACTGAAAAGAATTGGCCCCATCTTCTTGACACCTGGCCTTAAGATATTTGTGTTCATTGATAAGACCCCTTCTCAGTAGTCTCTTCTCCAGCTTGAACATCTTTCTCAGCCTCTCCTCATGAGACAGATGTTCCAGTCTCTTAAACATCTTTATAACCCTTTTCCAGACCCTCTCAGTAGTTCCTTGTCTTTATTGAACCGGGGATCTCAGAGCTGGACACAGTACCCCAGATGCAGCCTCAGCAGGGCAGAGTAGAGGGGGAGAATAGCCACCCTTAAACTGCTGGCCACACTGGTCATAGTGCACTCCACAATGCCATTTGCCTTCTTGGCCACACATTGCTGGCTCATGGTTAACTTGTCTTTTTGTGTTTGTAAACACAGAGTTTAATTTATGATGGACTTTGTACTAAGTCCACTTCCCAGAATCTAACTGTGAATTGAATATAAATTGTGTTGGTGATTTGCAAGAGATTAGTGGTATTTTATTGGAGAGAGTAGGAAAGAACGGTGAAAGGATTCCAACTATCCCAGCTGCAAGCTCGCCTGATCTTTCTGACCTCTTCTGGGCCAGGACATGAAACCTAAGTAGGAGATAGAATGAGAGGATAGAAATAGCTAAGGCCTAGATCCAAAAAAGTAAGCCATACACTCATCACCTTTTCAGGCTGTTATGTTCCCACTTGTCTTCATTAGGAAATTAAGAACTTAAATTCTCTTTTTTGGGTTTGTACCTAGGTCACAGTGAAGAGGTGCCCAGTCAACCCAAGCATAGAACAGTTATTACCTTTGTTTATGGGTTATTAACCAATTATCTAATTTCATTCCTCTGTGACAGTGTGCCTGAATTCACAAAATCCAAAGGGACCTGCCTCCACCTGCCCTTTCCCTGTTCCAAGTTCCCTCATGCAGCTGTTCTCCATGTATTGTCTGCAGCTGTTTGGCACTGGCACCAGCCCAGGCTTGGCATGTCCTGCATCCCATCCTTTGTATTTGCTGCCAGCAGCTTTTTCCTAAGATATGTAAATGAAGTAAAGGGACCTTGTAATTTTAAGTTTATAGCTTTGCAGAGGTGAATGAGAGAAAGAATGTACTGCCTTATAGCTTTTCTGTTTCACCCGCCAAATACCACAGATCTAGAGAGGAAAGACATGTAAGGACTACCCAAGAGATCACAAGAATCCTTGCAGTGTTGGGCAATGTAAAATGTAGTTCTGACTACAAATGAAATATATTTACAGTGAGCTATGTGGTTAAATCATCTATATGTAGCTACACACAGCTTAGAAGACATTTCTCAAAGAGGTATAGACTTGTCTAGGTCTGGTTCCTCAGAAGCCTCTTTAACAGGAGAGCTGCAATCTTATTTAGCACTTTACTACTGTGTGTGGAAAACCAAGCAGAAATGATAAAAACACTGGATGTTTGCACACAAATGGAAACTGCCAAATGATGTTTATTCTGGTACCATGGTGTGTGCTCAAGACAAAAGTTTCCTTAACATTTTGTGCCATGCACAGTAAAGAAGAAGAGTTCAGAAATTAAGAATGTTCTGGGAAGGAATCAATCTTTTTTCCATAAGCTGCTTTTAAAAACTTGTTTCTTAGTGTTTTGCAATTCTTAGGAATTATCTCAACAGCTGTTTTAGTGGAGAGTCATTGTTTGGGAGAATGGGTGACCTTAGCAGGTTCAGAAATGCAGCTCTCTTGGGCTGATTGTTCACTGGTGTCTCAGCACATTCTGTATTTTGTACTTGCCTGTTCAAATGGTCATGAGAATTGCTGTAGGATATTTTAAATGATGAAGGTATTGTTACTGCTAATCTTCCTTTTTTTCTTCTTCTTTTTAGGAATCAGTAAAGAAGAACTACTCCGTCAATTAAAAAGACTATTTACATTTATATTTTCCAAAATAGATATGTATTTTACAAGTTAATTTACTATTTAAATCAAGAGCACAGGAAAATGCAAGTCTCTTTGCCATAATAAAAATGGACAACCCAACTTTCCTTTGTATGAAGCAATATGAGAAGATGGTATTGACAGGAAAAAGATTCCATTGTAGGAAAGCATTTATATTCCTTTACATTAAGTGAAGAGAGAATGACAGCAGTGGCAGCTTCACATATTAGGAAGTTTACTAAGCAGAACTTCTTTTTTTTAGTTGGTGGAATGATAATTTATGTAGTTGATATTGGAGTCGACTTCTGGGTAGCTAGTAGATATTTCTGTCAAGGACAATATTCTTGGAGTATATTGATACTCTGTTTTAGAGGTATTTCATCAATAATAACTCAGATATTTAGTTATGAGTGGTTTAAAAATGACTGGGAAGGTACTGATACTGGGAAGCAGAAGTTGGTTTTTCTAGTTCATCTCTTTCATTGTGGAATTTTTATAAGGTAAGCACATTTAAACATTTATTTTAAAATGAGAAATGGTGCTTTTGGACAGTTATTAAGAAGTGCTTAGTATCGCTTCAGGGACAAGTGCAATTCTGTCCTTAACAATTACTGTTCCATGTGAATAAATGGATTTTGGTGGTAAATTTTGTCAGGTTTTGATGGACATGTAGTTCTTCTTCCATATACCTGTAAGCAATGATTTTTATCATTCACAACCCTGCTCTGTTTGATTAACCAGCCATTTGATGAGGCATACCTAATAAAAATGATTGCTTTGAGATGTAGTACTGTCATAACTGATAAATAGGAGTTTTCAAAGTGATGTTATGCACAGTAAGCATCTGAGACAGCTGATGAAGTAAAGTTTCAACCTGAGTGTCTAAACATGTGTAGTAAACTCACCAAGATTCAGAAGAGAAATGAGTAGCTGAATAGTTAGTAAGGATATTTGCATGGACTGACTTAATGGTGATAGGAAACTTTGTTTGCTTAGTGGATTACCTTAACTCTAAAGCAATCTACAAACTCTTGGATTTTCCTGAACTCATACACTTTCCAATGAATATCTCTTACCATGAATTTCTATAACTTTGAATCTTCTTTTCCAGATTTAGGTCCACATTCTCTGAGTGGCTTATTATGTAGTCAACATTATTTTGTTATTTGACAGTGTTGTCAACTTGGTTGCTTGTTCTTTATTGCACAAATGATATTTTCTCCAGTGCTGCTACTTATGCTTGGAAAATTTCCAAGGTGTTATGTATAAGTTACAAAGTTCTTTCAGCCACTCCTCACAGTTCAGCATATTGTAAAGTATAAGCTGGTAACAGCAAGTTGGCATCTGGGCTTTGTGATTAACTATTACATACTTTTATTATATGTATTTTCCTTAGGTGTATCAAGGTACAACTTCCTCCTGTCCTCCCACTTAGTCATCTAATTTATGTAGTTAATTTAGACAATGAGTCTCTCAGGTTTATCTGTACAGTAAATGGATAAAAATGGATTCTGTCAAGTCAGGTCACACTTGTTAAGGTGAGATTCTCTAGAAGGTCATTTGGAGCAGAAACTCATATTCTTCATTCAAAGAGGAAAATGAGGGCCTAGCCATTAAATAAGATTTGGAGGCTTGAAATTATAAGATGTGAATAAATCTTATCAAATTATCTTTTTTAATTTTTTCCTTTCTTCCTTTCCTTCTTCCTCCTTTCATCTCCTTTTACACCTCCTGATCCATCTTTGAACTTAGACTCCTAGAATGGTTTGGTTTGGAAGGGACCTTAAAAATCAGCTCCTTCCAACCCCCCTGCCATGGGCAAAGATACCTTCTACTTGACCGGGTTGATCAAAGCCCCATCTAACACAGCCTTGAACACTTCCAGGGATGGGGCAGACTGCTTTTCTGGGAAACCTGTCCATCACCACCCCAACAGGAAAGAGTTTCACCCTGATATCTTTTCTTAGCCTACAGTCTTTCAGTTTGAAGCCATTCCCTCTTGTTGTATCACTCCATGCTCTTGTACAAAGTCCTTCTTCAGCTTTCTTCTAGGCTCCCTTTAGGTGCTGGAACTGGTGACTTACAAACTAGTACCCTGGAGGTTTTGTACAGTGCACAGAACAATGGGAATCAGTTTGGTTTTGCTAACACACTGTCAATGCTAAGTAATAAATATGCAAATCATGCTGCTATATATATATATATGTATATACATACATACAATATATATAAAATCGGAGGCAAACAAAATTAAAAATATTTCTTATCTAAGAAGGATTTAGTTTCTTTTGCTGGAAAGGGTGCATACCTGCAATTATATTTCATATGAAATAGTATGATCTATAAGGAAACAAAATTAAGTTAAAAAATGTACATTTTAACGTGCTGACTAAAATTATATTCAGCCTGACCCATTTAAATGGTTCACACAGGTGTTTGTAGAATTGAGAACAGTCGTGATGAAAAAGACAATATTAAGACAATAACACTGTCACAGAATGTGGGGAAATGGGAGATTTCCTTAGGGCACCATATGAATTCTGGAGCTGTCTGATGTTTAGCAGTGTGCTTCATCAGTCTAGGATACACCTGTGGGGGACTAAACATTAGCAATTCATAACTTTTGCTGTCAGAATAGGTCACATAGTCAGCAGCCACTGTGATACTGTCATCTGCTTTTGTGCTTCTTGATGCTCAGAATGCCTTGCAACTTTGAATAGAAGCAGAAAAAAAGATTTTTTTGCATATTTGTAAAAATTAATTCTAGATCCATGAGACATCAGAGTGAACGTGAGTGCTTTGCTGAACCTGGGGTTATTTCATCATATATTTCTAAAAGTCAGTGAGGAAAATTCAGAGACAACATAGGTGATGGGCTGCAGGTTGGGCCCTGTTCTGAAGCAGTCCCAGCTGGCAGCACTGAGCACACCTGTGGGACATGCACTCTGGAAAAGGAGCTCCTCTGCTTAGTGACAGAGCTCTGGGGGGAGGTGAGTAGGCTGAGGAGTATCAGGGACAGAGAGATACTCTGCAAACTGCTAGAATCACACTCTGCCTTCCCTGAGACTGCCCCACAGGCAGGCAGGATGTGTGAGATGGATGATTCCCTATGCACTCTTCGCCTGACTGAGCACAGTGACTTAAGGCTAAGGGGCAATGGCAACAAGTTCCTGCCCAGTGCAGCAGGTGTGCCTCCCCTGTGACTACCCTATCTTCACAGGTGCCCTGGCATAACAGGTATGGGGCTCTGCAAGTGGAACTGAACAATAACAAGGATGTTGAGTCATCTGGCTAGGAGATGTCACTGAGGTTAAGTTACCTACACCCTGTGTCAAACTCTTACTGCTCTCTACAAATGAAAGCAGGCTGCTGTGAGGTGGGAGTCAGTCTCTTTTCTCAATTAACAAATGACAGGATGAGAGGAAATGGCCCCAGCTTGCACTGGGAAAGTTTGGATTGGATGTTAGGAAAATTTTCTTCACTGCATTGGAACAGGTGCCCAAGGAAGTGGGTGAGTCTCCATCTCTGGAGATATTTAAAAGACATGTAGATGTGGCATTTAGGTCCACCAACTTGATAGTGCTAGAGCAGTAGTTGTTCTCAATGATATTAACGATCTTTTCCAAATGAAATGATTCTGTGATTCTATGTTTGATCACATTTTCTTAATATAAATTTACTGACCTAAGTATTGACTTAGTTGCATTAGTTTCATGGGTTTAATCCAAGTATTTTGATACTTAGAAGGTGAAATTTAACATGCAGTGGAGAGTAATTTTCTTTTGATAAGGATTTATGCAATACTGAAGGCTATGACTGCATGGCCAGAATTTTGACAGGACAATCATTATTGCCAGGCCACTCACACCCTGCCTATATGAATTTGTAAATGGCACCCAAATATTTATCAGTGTAGTTTGATGAGATGTAGTATAATGCTGGGATTGTGTTACAAGTCAGTGGAAATCAGAGAGGAAGCATGTGATATGGAAACATTGGCAAGGCCACTTGCTTGTCACATGTGAAGGCTGTGAAGCAACAAAACAAAATAGCTGTCATCCCTGTGAATTCCCAGCCAAAGACAAAGCCTTCCTAATTTTACAGGATCAAACTTCATCACTTGTGAAATGATGGTGAATATTGAGGAACATCTCAAGAACAGAGAGACAATGGAGCTGTGTTTCCATGAGTTTTTATAACAAGTAGGAGCCCTGTTATCTGTGTTCTCCACAAAGCAATACTACAAATGCAGAAACCCTTTTTTTTCTCCTGTCAAAATGAATGATATTTAGAAACACTAGTAATTCTTTGCCATTCACATATGACAATACCAGTTGCAAAGAAATTGTAGGTTTTTTATCTGTTGGCTTCCAAGTAGCTTATATGCCTTGAAATAACAAAAAACCTGTTCTCTTTGATGAATTTATAAGGAGAAAAAGTAAATGGTAAACTTGCATTTGTCTGTATTATTGACATAACCATTTCACATTCCATTTAAGATGTACCTCTAGCTAAAATACATAACTAATCCAATATTTTTATTAATGTATTTTTATTACAATTGTAGTACCTTTTAAAAGACTTTGCAGTTTGTGAATATTGAAGCACAGAACTCCTGTAGCAATAGATATATTATAGGAAAATAGATTAGAGTAGTATAGCTATAATATTTTCAGAGCAGGCATAGGGTTTAACTGAGCTGTGGGCATGATAAAGGAGAAAATTTAAACCTGACCTATCCTTTAGTATGGACTGAACTTTGCCCTAGGCTGGGGACATACTTCAGCATTAGGTCTAAAAGTTGGTTATGAGCCCTTCCTATAAGGTCATACTACATGCTAAAGAGACAGATGAGAATGATAGTATAAGTACAAAATACTCTTAAAATATGAAAATTTGTCACAGTGTACTTACAGTAAGTAACATAAACATGTGCATCTTGGAGAATACCACCCTGCTTAATACATAATCAAAGAGCAGTAGAAGTATTTGGAGTTTACTCAAAAAAAATAATGTATTCTATCTAGTGTTCAAAGTCAGAAGTGGACTAACCAAAACCCCTACAACTAATGAAAAATACATAGCAAACCATCTTATAACAATATAAACCTAATACACAATGCTCAGAAGGAATGTGCTCTAAAAACTTACAAGTGATTTCAGGTATTTATCCAGCTGAAATATTTCTTTTAGGACATCTCTTGCCTTACATGTCACCTGCCATCTCAACAGTGAGCTCTGCAGCTCAGAATTTTTGCAGCTGATTTCCACTTCTTGCTGCTTGGACAAACACAGGCTCTGGTGGATAAGTCCATGGACAACTAGCAGATTAGTCTACCCAATTGTTTTTTCTTGAAAACATTGCAAACTTTCCAGATTTTTACATCTCAGATGCAAGAACCAGATGTTTTGGAATACTAATTGTTTTATAAACAGGAAAAAGCTTTAGATGCCTTGCCAAACAGTTCAGTTCATTGCTTATGAGTGGTTATTCAGGGAACAATAAGATAAATACACAAAACCATAAAAATAAAAATGAGTTTCCTTTGGGAATAAACAATGGATCCAGAGGCAGTTCATGGACTGAGTGGCAGGGATGCAGTCTATGAATCTGCAAGGAGAAAAGGAAAGTCTCTTGTGTAACAAAGTTGCTCCACACCTCCTCCTATTGTTGCTTCCACGTTGCAGTTCTCACTTGCATGGTCAAAATGCCTTAACATACCAGGGAATAGGTAATGACTCCTCTAGCATGCCCTTAACCCAGGAACTGACAATCCTGGCTGTGGAGGAGAGCCTTACACTGCCTTCCCTGTGGTCAAAAGATTTGGTCTTTAACGGTGGTAAAGGTGTTAAACTTTTAACCCCTGAAGGAGCCAGGGATTCTTCCGAGCTCCCTTATTAAGGAGGAGTGCTGAGCTCCAGCGTTACACTGGGAGGAGACGGCCCTGTGAGGTCTGGCTGGCTGATGGTCTGATGATCCGCTGCCCTCTTGTTCTCTACACACGGTAAATGCAACGCACGGGTTTCATCAGGCCCCTGGTGTGTGTGATCCTGTGGATGGTCAGGGAATTAGAAAGCTGCACTTCAGCATGAATCTTGAAGTTCTCTCAGATGCTGTCTTATGGAATGTAAATAGGAGGCAAGTTAAGGCATAGGACCTTGCCTTTCTCAGCTTGTGTATTAGCGGTCTTGTATAGCTAAGATAAGCAAGTGTTGGCCTGTGGTGTTCTGCTTAATTTCTCAAGAAAATAGATCCAAATGAATGATGAAACTGTCATAATTTATTCACTGAATTAGTTTCTCTTTTGATGAGGAAAGACTCTAGTAGTGTTTGCAAGGCTATAAAAATAGGCTGAATAACAGTGAGTTTTCTTTAAAAGGAACCACCTAGGCTGTCTTGTCTGCTGGTTATAGTCAAAGTGGGTTCATTGGAGAAGGATGTCAGAAGCTTAAAACATCTGGGAACTAAATAGACAGAAACAGGTTTAGAAGTCTGAAGCCTGCTATGGTCAAAATCCTATTTATGGACGAACACGTGGATTTATATACCTATAAAGCCAATAACTTAGTATAAATTAAATTCTAATAGTTGATTCCAAGAATTGTTATTAGTCTATATCTATTAGTTACATAAAAAGAAAGATTACATCTGTGCATAAAAGTCTTCAGTAATAATAATAATAGTAATACAGTTAAAATTGCTACATAAGTATTTTTTCATTCCTATCCCTTTTTTTAAGCCATCCCTTATCATCCTATGCATGTGCTTTTCTACACTGTATCCTATCTCTCCACATCTCAGGACCTCTGCTATTATAGCAAGACTAGATTTCTCTACCCTACATCATAATGTATTTAATAAATATCTCATTTGATAGGGTATTAGCAAGCAGTGTATCTGCCTGTTACTGTTACCTATATAAAACTATGACCATGACACAAAAATGAAAAAAAAAAAGAGTGAAAATTATATTTCAGTATTTTCTGAAATATAAGTCTTCTGATTATTTAGAAAATAACAATGTAGTAGGTTGTTTTAAAAGTCCGTTTTATGTTTGTGATTAATCAGATATTATCCTTGGGGCTTATGGATCTATATTCTACTTACTTAGATGTGGATATTCACAGCTGGATATTCATTAATACCCTGAAAAGGATACAAAGAAAGTGAATGAATATCTCAAGGAGAGACTGAGGAGAGATGCTAAGTGAATTTTCAGAAATGCAGTAATTTAAAGAAATTAGATCCTAACAAAATTAAGTTTGTATCTTTATTCAGAAAAGTCTCATTCTGTTTCATTAGTTTTATTATTGCATGGTATTGATGGGCTTAAATTATTCTCTGATATCCCTGATACCAGACCGGTATCAGACATAATTTTACCAGAATAGAAGAAGGAAAAAGTTGTTATAAGGCTATATAATTTTATTGGTTTGGTCTTCTAAAAAGTCCTGTCTAATCAAGTGTCCTTTTTAAAATAGGTATTGGTTTGCTCTGAAATATGGCTGTCAAGTTGCATTTAAACAAACAAGTAACAGAAGTGCATCAGAAGTAGATCCTTCCAATGGCATTGAAAAACAAGCTATTGATGCAGTGACTGATATTAACATGCTCAGGGTGTTCAAGACTTTTCTTGAGACCACACCACAACTTTTTCTTCAGATTTACATCCTCATGGAACATGGCAAAACTCATTTCTATCAATGTAAGTCTTTTTTCTTCTGTTGCAAATTGAATATCTTGCCTAAAAATATAACTCGTGACTGGATAACATTTTAAATGTACCTTGGAAAACGTGTTCCGCTGTATTATTACTCTGCATTTAATTAGAATTTCTCTCTAGTAAATGGTCCATTTTGCTAAATCAATAAGAAGGAAGATTTCACTATAAAATGAAAAGTCATATTAAAATACTGTGCATCATAAATATAAAATTCATAATATCTAATAAAACCATAATGATGCATCACTTGAAAAGAAGCTCTTAATGCAATTAGCTTGTAATTTGCAGAGCAGTTTGATATGTGTGGTTTTGATTATGGATTATTTTAAAACTGCTAGCTGGGCATTTGGAAATCAGTTACATAATAAAAGCAGGCCCATGAGCATAGGTTACAGGTGAGGGACAGAGTCAAAACTAAATCTAAGGAGATGTCAATATTGTAGAATGCAACATGGTGAAGAGATATTGGTTCAACTCTCAGAAGCAGAAGCAAGACAGTAGCTGCACCATTTCCAGCTCTAAAACTAGCAGAATTACAGGCAAGACATTGACATATTCTGGTTTGGAATTTACCTAACCAAATTGGGATATCTGCATTGATGTCTAGTGTTCCTCAAAGTCCATGGAGTCAAAACTTACTCATGGAAAAGGATCAGACAAATCTCATCTTTGATACGACCATGTGATGGATCAAGCATTAGTTATAGATTTCTACATTTTAGACACAGCAGACTCACATATATTGGTTGCTGAAACTTAAATTTTTATGGTCTATTTGCAATACTTTGGGAATTTCTAAGTCACCTGTGTATGGACATGGCAGATAAGACACACAACTTAGACAAGGCTATTAAGGACCAGGGGCTGGGCAGGATAACGTAAGTGTACCAAACGTCATCAGATGCCTAGATTTAAGTAACTAAAGCAAGCCTTAAAATTATGGTGATTTGCTTTGGAGCAGAGAGTAAATATAGAACTGGGTTAAAGAAAGTGTTAGGGATGCATGATATTTTGTAAAACTTCATTCAGCAATCATAGTGTATCTTTTTCTCTGATGTAACATTTTTCCTTGTGTTTTGTTTAGATGCTGCCATTATGATGTCTTTTTGTGGTATCTCCTTAACAATGGTTGATTATCAGATATCACTACGAAAATCTCTGCCTGACAAAGATGAATTTCATGTGCTTTCCAAGTTCACGTACCTCTTCTATAAGTTGCTTACCATCACTTCTTGGATACTCAGTATTTCATTGATCACTCTACTCAGTGTCAGAATTTCTGTAATTCTGCTGATATTTCTTTGGATCGGTGGCTTCACTTGGACTTTGAAACAGCATACAACATTTTGCAAATCTAAGAAGATGGAATATCTGTACAGAACTGTAGTTGGAATCATTCTAATTTTTTCATTTTTTAACATAAAGGGGAGAAGAACAAAAGTTTGCATTTCTATTTATTATGCTACTCACACTGTAGTGACTCTAGGTATTTTGTTTGTATATATGTTCTGGAAACCTTCCATTATCAAAGAAATACGTTTTACAATTGTAAGCATCTTAACTGTTTTGAGTCTGGTGTTAGGTATTATTTTTCTTGTTGTTTATTATAGCCATTTTCATCCCAGTACTTATTGCAGACCTCAGGCATATTCAGATGAAGTTGATGGAGTAGAAGGGCAAAAAGTTAGAGTGAAAATGGGTAGATTTCAGAATTTCTTAATGCAATGAGCATTACAGGGCTTTTTTGTTGTTGTTGTTTCTTTTAGTTTGTTTGTTTTGAGATTTTGTTTTGGTTTGGTTATTTTTGTGGCCTTAAAAGCAAATCCTTGCTGGACAGTGTGTTTCTCTGTAATTGGTACTTGTGTATCATCACTGAGGAGTACATAGTGGACCAGAGTTGTTTGCTTTGAATAACTATTTGTTTTCCATGATACAAAGACTCTGTACATTAACATTTGTGTGCTGGTGAAAGTTATTTTGTCAAAGAAATTATTTAACCTATTCATCCAACACAATTCACAGTTTTAGGTTTTTAGCAATGCAAATGTACACAGAAAAAGCTGAGTTAATTAAATGAAATATAGCATTAAAACCACGTTCTATTAACTTGTGTCGATTCTGTTAAAAACAAGGCTCTTTTTTTGTTTTGTGGAGGGTTTTTTTGGTTTAGTTTTGTTTTGTTTTTCTTGCTGGAAGGAAAGAAGATTGCATTTAAAATAACTGAGGTCAGTGATCAGTCTTCTGCTTCTCCCCATTACTGTAAGAGCTGTAGTCCTGCATGTTAACACATTGTACTGCCTTCTCCCTGAACATCCCCTGAAGAAGAATAGCTTTGATCTATGGCTCAATCACTGTCTTGCCACAAGGAAATTTGGGGAGATATTTTCAAGCATATTATCATCTAGGTGTTTTAATGACTTCTTTGTTGTTTTTGTTCTGTTAATCTTTCACACAGTCTTCTGTATTTAGGGGTGATGCCAGCTTGTTCTGGGTTATAATAGCAGCCTGAGGGATTTATGGATGGCAACAGGAGTCTTGCTTACCAGTGAAGAACCATCTTCCATGAAGCTTTCTTCTCCTTTGGGCTCTAAGATGTAACACTTCAAATGCTGATTTCCACTGAAATATAAGGCTATGCAGAGCAGGCAGTGGTGCAGCACCTTCTGTCTTTATCACTGGAGAAAAGAGCAGCAACAGTTATGATGCATTCACAGGGTCTGGCAAAAGATAAACTAGCATGTCTATCAAGAATTTTTGGCAGAAGGCAGAGTGAAACCAGACAACATTTCAGCTGTGTGTTCAAATACTAAATCAAAAGCAATGAAATAAGGTTGATAGTCACAGTTTATTCAGAAATAAAATCTAAGGGGAAACATTTCAGAGCCACTGTGTTTTAAATCTGTGTTATGAAAACCTGGGGCTCTTTCTCTCCCCTTCTTTCTCCTTCCATTAAGTCACATTTGCAGTTAGATTGACCACAGGCAAAGGTAGGGAACTAGGTTTGAGAAAAGAGGCTAGAGATAAGAAAAATTGATAAACTTGGCCAGGAACCAAATCTGTTAATATTATTTATTGACAACAAATTTATGTGAAACTCTGGAGGAAGGGCTGAATCTTTGGTTGATAATTAGGTTTCTTAAGAGCTGTGTCTTGTGTCTTTTGTGTCAAGTTCATGGGCTGCAGACTGCTTTTTCTTGTTACTCTTTCAGCCTTACCAGAGCTCAGGGCAAGTTTCTAAATGCATTTCTTTCCTGTTCTATGTCCACACTTCTCTTTACCAGGCCAACCACATTGATACTATTCAAGGAAATTAGTTTCTATGTGCATAGTTTGGACTGAACAGTCTGCCTTTCTGAGGCCGCACATGAGAAATTGATGTAGTGAGAGTTTACTTCTAAAATCCTTCATTCTTGCTTGTGGGTAACAAAATGTGGTCCACAAGTAAAGATAATCCATGTGACAAAGGAATGCTAATTTAGTTTTACTAAAATTGGTATAAAAACCAGTGTCTTCACTTCTTTTACTTTGGAAGAGAGATATCCAGATTTGCTAGCCCTGGAAGGAGAAAAAGCCCAAGGCTTTAATGCACCATGATTGTCCTAAGTTCTGTCTTCTTTATTGCAGAATATTTATTACTGGTGATGGTGTCCTTGGCAGCAAAGTGCATGCCTGCTTTTATTTCATAAAGGAAAAAATAGAACTGTAAATAGTGAAGACAATCCTTATATGGCTTCCCACACTTTTGCTGTTTGTCAATCTAAAATCCTGAGAAGGGACTAGGGTAAGGGATGGTGGAAAATAGAGAATATTATCTCTATCTTGCAGAAAATTACAAAATGCTGTCTAGCTATTTTTTAGAAGATGACCTCAAACTATATCCAAGATCTGAGAAACAGATCTCTGGGGAAATATGTGATCCTCAGTCCTAGTGTGGGCAATTAAGCCCTGGGACCTCCAAGTTCTCTGCCTGCTGCCAGAAATCTGGAGCCTGAGTTGGTCCTGAGGAAAATTAATTTCTGGTGTAACAAAATAATTTGTCTTGGTGATTTTTTTTCTCCTTTCAATGAACTGACAAATTCCAAAGAGAAGTCTTTCATTGCCATCTCTCTGGCCAACTCCTAACACTCATTTTCTCTCAGGGGAGAAAAGCTGGACTTTGTGGTGCCTTCTGTTGTTCTCCTTACATCTCCTCACTCCCTCTTCTGTGCCCATAAGAAGAATATTACACTGAAGTTGAGTTGGTAAGAAAGACATCTAGGTGGCTATTAATATTGTTCTAATTCAAATGCACACCAAACCAAATTACTTCAGTTTCAATCCTTATTTTAGGCTTGTAAGTCCTAGTGGATATAAATTTAGCCATATCCTAAGCCTGGAAATGGTCCTTTGGGAAATCATTTAAGTTCTTTTCATAAATCTTAAAGTTCTTCAGTGTCCTTCCACCAGTATGCCTCTATTTTGTTGTCATCAGTCCAGGGACCTCAAGAGATGGGAATTCCTGGTGGTTTGCTCCCTGTAAATTTTTATCTACAGGGGAATATTATGAGAATAAAAAAAATTTAACTTTAAACTTGTCTATTTCTTCTTGACTTTGAGTTAAAGATTTTCACTTTATTCCCTTCATTTTCACAGCTATGAAAGCGGCTTCTCGTTCCTCTGGTTGTTCTAACTCAGAAAGCACATGAATTGACTCCAGATACATTTCTTATCACCAGTGACCACTTCAGACAAAACAAAGCTCCACTTCATATATATCCTTTCTGCTTCCCAACTACCCTTAAAATTCAGCTGCCACTCAGTTCATGCATTGCGCTTGACCTTGTCATTGTAATCTAATAGCAAATTGAAAACAAATGGTTTTTTCTTTCTTTTTTTTTTTTTTGTGTTAAGTATGCCCATTACATCTTACAAAAAGTATTTTAATAAGTTAAATAAAATTAATAAACAATTTCTTCCTGTTTTGACTACTGTCAGACCTGGGTAAGAAGAACAACATCCAACAGAATTGTTTTAATTATCCTACTAATATTCAACGTGTCATTTGATGGCATGGGTGAGCTCACCTGATGTACCACAGATAGTACTGATTTATTAAGCCATAATTGGGTTTCCAATAAACATTTGTCAAAATAATGTATTCATTCAAACCAAAGCCTTCTTTATTTATTCATATAAAAGAGCACTTAACTTTCAACAAAGAATTGCCTGCCATCAAAAACACTCCATAAATGGGGGAAATTTATGAAGATACACTACCAGAGGGTGATCGGTGTAAGACTAAAGTTCACTTTAACCCTTCAAAGAGCTGAGTTCTACCTCTTGCTTGGTACTGGTACTGTACATATTTCTCATTAAAAGTCTCAAGCCCTAACATTAAGCTTTCTATATTTACACATGAAAGTTCCATTTCTTTTTTCTACCATTGAGTCTTATATCTAAAAGACTGTTTCAAAAAGAACATCTCCTATTTATATTACACAGTCTAGAAGCGTGCACACATTTCAAAGTCCTTTAGGCTTACCTACATTCTGCCCACAGGTTTCACCATATGTGCATTCTTCCAAAAACATGGTAAGCTTTGAGAGGTTCAACAATGTATCTCACCTGAACCTGAGGTAATACATGTACTTGTAATTAATTCCAACTGAAGAAATTTCCTGTTGTATTTCTTTGCACTCTTCTCTATTTACTTTGCACTTTAATTTTACAGAATTTTAGTAGAATAGCAAAGTAGATGGGCTGTACAATTGATGTCTGAATGGAGTGCAGCTAACCCCTTGGAGACCACCTTCAACAAAAAGTGTTCTTCTTTTACCTCCAATAGGCTAACATATAACACATAAAGTCACTGAATGTTCCCACTTTGCAAGTTTTATGTTTATTAGCTTAGTAAAATGTAGACCTTGGTGTGATAGGGAGTGTTGCTTCAAAACTAATGTAGCTTGCTAGCAATTGTTGAAAATGCAAACTGCACTAGCCTTCCTACAACTGTATTTCAGTTTCCATATTTTTAGCATACTTTTTATTTCTGACAGTGAACATAGATGTAAATAATAGATTAGAATGAGGAAGAATAGGAAGATTTCGAAGTGCATGTTCATGCCACAGAAACTCTTGCTAATCTCAGTACAAATATGTTAATATCATTACCATTATCATTACTACTTGTGGACTCTTTGTCAAGATGAAGAGGATATGCTTAGAAGAATATCTCTGTTGCAACTGGAGTGCAACAAAAAGCTAGTGGTAAAGTTCTGTAATGCTTTTCTTCTCAGCACTGACAAGTGATCTTAAGTCTCTCTGATTTAGCACAGGTATTTTTTAGTTGGAGCCTAGAAAAGACACAGTTAACTATTTTGGTCTGTAGGCAGTAGCTAAACTACTGAAAATAAAGTGCTAAATGTTACTGGATGCTTCCTGGCCGCTATGAGAAAGTAAATGACAAAGCTACATATTTGCAGGTTCCTTGCAGAAAGGAACAGAGAGGAATAGACTTAGTGGGTAGACAAAGAGGGAGCTGGTATTTTTTTCACATAATGTATTCCACACATTCAATCTAACTTGAAGTGTGTTATGCTGTAGTAGAGCAGAAAGAGACCTCCAACATAATTTTGTAATTTGTCCTACAGCAGGATCACTGTGCTTGTTCCATTCCTGGCAGATATTTTCTAACAGGTTCTGAAAAATACAATATTCCAGTCAACTAGGTCTACTTCTCAGTCAGAAGC